GCAGCACACATTTTAGGACTCCTGAAGCCTAAAATGGGCAGGAAAGGCTCTTTCCAAATACTAGACATAGGCACAGACTGAGGCCATTCTCATGTCATTCCACATTGCCCTGAAGGCTGAAACTCCTTCCCTTCAAGAGTTAATTCTGTACCACACTGTTTCTGGCTAATATGTAAGCCTAATGCTTTGGACAAGGTTTGTGAAAAGCCACACAGGGCATTTAATGGGCGACGTCAAAGCGCATAACTCAATCCTCACCCCAGTCTTTCATGCCTGCCTTGGGAGTTTCAGAAACTTTTTTTTTCAAAATACTTGGCCTCAGTTATGAGAAGCAAGAGAAGGAGGAGGTGGAGGTTGTGACCTGCAGATACTGTGTTTATGAGAACACTCCTCCACCAAAACAGCACTGGCGCTGCAATCTTGTCCTTGAGATGTTTAGTATATAGATTGCACGCTATGTCTTACTCCTCCCTCCCGCCCGGCAAAAACTACTCTCAGAGGCCAGAATTTCTAGTGGAGGCTCCACAGCAGGACAATTTCTTCCTTGAGCACCATCCCTAAGAAAAAGCTTGGGATGAATCAAGCTCCTGGTCGAACTTGCTGCAAGTGCAAACCGCTACGTGCAGCGGACAGTAGAGTCACTGTTTTCATTTAGAACCAAAGCGAGCCAGTGAATGTTGGCTCCTAATTTCTGTGGCTTTCACATCCATTTAATCGTTTCCTTTCCTCTCTGCTTGCAACCATCCCGGGCAGAACACTCCCCTGGACAGCTCACCCCTTTTGTTCCATCTCACAGCAGCCCAAATTGCAAGCTTCAGGAAAAGTATGAAAAGTGAGGGAGTGTAGTTCCAGCACCGCTGGAAGCCAGCAGTGAGCGCCCAAGTTCCTCTGCGTTTCTGCGCCTGGTCCGAAGCGTTACTCCAAGTTTAGGCAGCGCCTTTCGACTGGGGCTCTCCAGTCCATTTAAGGTGGGTCTGAAACCACGTCCATTTTACAAAGAAGCGCCCTGACGGGATAACTCGGCCCGAAGCGCGGGGTTTGCCCGGCCAGAGCGGGCAGCATCGCGGCCATCCCGTCCCGCCCCCGCCCCGCGGCGCGCCCCGCACCTTGCTCGCAGGCTCCCTTGCTGCGCTGGCTGATGGCGGGCTCGCCGCGGCTCTGTGCGCGCAGGCTGGCGGCGCGGAGCTGGCAGCCGCTGCCGTACGTCAGCCCGTCGCTGCCGCACACCGGGTAGCGGCTCTTGCAGAGGCACACGCCGGGCGGCCCGGCGGGGGCGGCGGCGGCGGGGACCGGGCCGCCCTTGGCCTTGCGGCGCTGCCGGCTCTTCACGCACTCGAGGCCGGGGGCGCAGCGTCCCCCCGCAGCTCCGCCGCACGCCTCGCCCTCGCCGCGCCCGCACTGCCAGCAGCAGCCGCAGGTGTCCCGCACCCGGCCCAGCGGGCAGCCCCGCGCCGGCAGCGCCGGGCACCGCGCCGCATCGCAGGGCCCGCAGCCGCCCGCCGCCGCCGCCGCCGCAGCCGCCGCCGTGCCCGGGGCGGGCACCGCCAGCGCCGCCAGCAGCAGCGGCAGGAGCAGCAGCGGCATCGCGGAGGGCGGCATGGCGGCACGGCCCGCCCGCCCGCCGCAGCCGCTTAAGCCGCGGCGGGGAAACCCCTCCCCGACGGCGCCGCCCCGGCCCCGGCCCCGGTCACGGCCACGGCCACGGCCACGGCAACGGGGCACCGCCGCCATCCCGCGGCCGCCCACACTCCGCGCCGCCGGCTGAGCCCTTGGTGCGCGGTGCCTCCCGGCTGCCCCGCACTCGGCATCGCGGCTGTTCCCTCGTCTACTTCCAGCAGCAAGAGAGCCCTGGGAGAGGGCTGGCAGCCGGCTGAACGCCAGCCGGCTGTGCCCGGGCCGACAAGAAGGCCAATGGCATCCTGGCCTCGGTCAGTAAGGGTGGCCAGGAGCAGGGCAGAGATTGTGCCCCTGTACTCGGCACCTGGAGTGCTGTGCTCAGTTCTGGGGCCCTGACTACAAGAAGGACATTGAGGTTGCTAGAACGTGTCCAGAGAAGGGCAACAAGGCTCGTGAAAGGTCTATCGAGAGCGTGTCTTATGAGGAGGGGCTGAGGGGTTTGTGTAGAAGGTTCAGAAGGCGTTCATTGCTCTCTACAACTCCCTGAAAGGAGTCTGCAGTGAGGTGGAGGATCTGTCTCTTCTGCCATGCCTGCAGTGAGAGAAGGAGAGGAAAAGGCTTTAAGTTAAGGCACAGGAAATTCAGACTAGATATTAAAACATTTTTCACTGTTAGGGTGAAAAGTTTCCACTGAGGCACTGGAATTGGTTGCCCTGGGAGATGGTGGGGTCACCATCCCTGGAGGTGGTTAAAAGGCATCTGGATCTGGTGCTGGGGGATGATTTAGTGGTTTAGGGGTTGCTGTGGTAGTGTTGGCTGGATGGTTGAACTTGATGACCTTAAAGGTCTCTTCCAACCTTGATGATACTGTGATTCTTGCCACCCACCCATGCTCAGCTCACAGCCACTGCTGTGGGGGGCTGCAGAGGTGCTGGTGAGCCTGTCAGGTTCCTTCAGGAGTGGAGGCAAGGAAAAAAGGAGAGCTTTTTGATTTCTCCTGTTCATTCTTCGGACAGGACAACATTTCTTTCTGCTGCTTTCTTTTACCTTAGCTTGTGGCTTCTGCCCTGGAATGGCTCCTGAACAGTCTCCTAGAGTGGGGGCCTGTTGCTACCACCAGAAACTGGGAATATTCCTCAGGCAGCACTGGGCAAAGTTGCTGTCAAAAGAGTGTCCTGAAAGTGCCAAACCTAAAGCACCACGGTGCTGAAACACCCCTCAGGCAGAGGGGCAGCGGGGCAGCACATCCCCTGCCCTCCTGCCTGCCTGTGCCTGTGGGAGCTGCCATCTCCTGCAGGGCAGTCCAGGCCGAGATGCTGTTCAGCCTTGGTTCTGCCAGGGCCTGCACAGTGGGAGGAGAAGGACAGAGGTAGCTAGTGTTCTACCCTGTGGTACTGAGGGATTTGGCACCGTCTGGTTTGGATTGCCAGTGGCTGAGCCTTGCTGGGTAGCCCCCAGGTCGCCGTGTCCCTTCCCATGGAGAGAGCAGCTGGAGCTGTGACTCAGGCCAGCTGAGAGGGGCTGCAAGTTCCCCATGCTCCCAAATCTGCTCTGGGGGCATTGACCCACTCATGCCTGTTCAGCTGCTGACACTGTGGGAACAGGCTCCCACCACATGCTTCCTTGGCTTCCTGGGGCTCAGCATGAGACATTCCTCCATTTCTCCTGGGACCATCTGCATACATGTCCTTGGATTTCTCCATTCCTCTCACTCTGGAAGTGCTGTGTGCTCTTCTCCTGGGAGAAGGGCTGCCCTCACAAGCAAGCAGTACCTCACACTTGAGGAGTTTTACACATCTTGGTTGTTCCTGTGCTGTGTTTTGCTTTGGTTTGGATTTTATGGGCAATTCACTAGAGGACTGATGGAAAGGGGTGAAATGTACAGATGGACATATCTGTCAGTTCCAGCTACAAAAACCATTTTGCACAGTTCACCTCTTCTTGCTGTCTCCTGCCAGTTGCCACACATCTCCCTCACAGGCCCCTAGATTGCTGTCATCAGAGTATTATGAGCCCAGATACTCTTGGGCAGAGAACCACAGGGAGTTTAATGAACCTGCCTACCAGAGCGAGCCTTTTGGACATGAAATCACTGTCAGCAGCCCCGTGGAGGGAGGAAGAATGCAGCTCTGAAAGGATGACATCAATACATTTCCTTTCCTTTCTTCCCCTCGAATCTGTTTCTTTCCATGCCAGGCGGGAGGCAGTGCTTGGAGCAGTTTTTCCTCACAGGGAGGAGTCCTTAGTTCATGCTTTGGTGCAGAAGGACCTCTAGTGTCCCTTCCCAGCTGATGATTTGGAATTACTGCTCTAGCTCGGTATTTCTTGATCTCCAGACTTTCCTGCATACTGTGGAAGGAGATACGATCCGCAAAGTGCGTGCAGGGAAGGGGCTGGGAGAGATAAGGCTGGGTTGCTCCTCCCTGGGCAGAAGTGACTTACTGTGTGCCCCAGCCCCACCTTCCATGGCTCCTCCACATCCTTTTCTCTTCACCTCAGGGACCTCCAGGTGCTCTTTGTGCACCACAGGCTGCTCCATTTAAATACATTACATTAGATGCTCCTGCTGTCTCAGAAATTAATTTTCCACTGAATTTCAGTGAACACCAGAGTAAATCTGTAGATTCATGTTGTCTTTCTTGGGACTTTTGTAGAGTGCCCTACCAAAATCTCTTCTTAGTATTCAGCAGCATAAAATTCTCATAAACAATTCAATTCTGCAATTGAATTTAATTCATCAGTGGCAGCTATTACGAATACAACAAAAGTGATCTTATGTGTTTTGATCTGTTTCATCATTGACACGGGTATCCCTTATTTCATCACCAATATTGCCCTGCATGCATCACTCCAGTGAGACAGTGTGGGAGGTGAGGCAGGCAGGGTGGTCTTTTTGGGACGGAGGAAGCTCACAGGGTCTTTGAAGGCGGGGGAGATTCAGCGGAGACTCTGTGAGAATGGAAGCAGATGGCTTTTAGATGTTGATGTATTTCCAAACCGAGCGTTTCACTTGCGGTTTGACTTCCCCCAGCCAAGCAGCCCCTCTGGGTTCGCGTGGGCTCTTAGTCGGGATACAGCTGAGCAGCAGAGTAGGTCTCTCGGCTCTCCGCAGCACGGACACGGGCGGGTCACTCTCCGAAGTGAATAATAAAGTCAAAAAGCGCATTCTGCACATGGAAGACCCCGGCATCCTCTCCTCCCGCCCGGGCAGCAGCAGCAGGCTGAGGAGAGCCGGGAACCCACCGGATCCCAGTTTCCCAGCTCCGGGCTCGCAGGTATCGGGAATGCCTCCCGCCGCTCCTCCCGCTGCCGCAGCCCCTGCTGAGTTTCGGTTTCCATTTCCCCGGCTCGGCGTTCCCGGCGCTGCCCGGGCACTCCCGAGCTGTCGGCGGCCGAGGGATGGCGGGGAGGCGGCGGCGGCAGCGGGGCCGGGGGCGCGGCACGGGAGGTACGGAGCGGCGGGAGCGGCGCGGCGGGGAGGGCGCTGGGAGACCCCCGGCAATGGGTCCGTGCAGGTGGGAGCGCTGGAAGTGCAACAATCTGCAGGGCAGCCCCTCGGGGACCGGGCGTGAGGGGCTAAAAGGCGTCCCAGTGCGAGGGACTGGAAGGAGGGAGAGCGTGCCGGGGAATCGAGGGGGGTTTCCCTCTCTAGTTCCATGTCTGATGTGTGAGAAGGGTGGGCAGCGAGTCTCCAGAGGTGTTCGGTAAATTAGGGCAAGCTTTGCTGATGACCGCCTCTCACTCTTGGACATCCTGGGTCTCAGACACTTGTGCTGGAGCAGAGCTACATGCGAGTAACTGAGTGCCTGGTGCCTCTAGGTCGGGAGAGCATCTGCAGCCCCTCAGCTGTAGACAAGGAGTACTTCCTTCTTGTGAAGAACGCCAATCACTTGTTTTTAAAATTTTAAAAGTTTAATAGTAATGAAATGGTTATTAAAATAGTGATACAACTAGAGTAATAATAATTTGGACAAATTGAATTAGGACAACATGAGACAACAGAGACAAAGAGCTACGGATGGCCGGGTACCTTTTCTGGGCAGCACAAGCCCGAAAAAGGACCCGCGTTAACAGAGGATTAACCCTTAAAAACAACAGCCTGTTGCATATTCATACACTTCATACATGATGCATAAATTCCATTCAAACACAGGATTCTGTCTGGTCATCGTCAACTTTTTCCTCTGAATCCTAACAGCGCCATCGAGGAGGGAAGAAATTTGTTTCTTCTGATAAGAGGGCAATAAATTCTTTTTCTCTGAAAGATTTAGGTGTCCTGTGGCTGCTATCTCACTGTGAGTCCTTTCTTTTAAAAAAGTATCCTACATAGCATAGTTTCTATTTTAACATTTTTTATAACCTAAAACTATATTTAACACACTACTTAAGAGAATTAATACAGCATTACTTTCTAACACAACACTTATAATATTCATTTTAATATTTGTGAAAAGCCGATCATAAAATATGCATTTTTCATACTTCTGCTGTAAAGAGGCAATGAGTGAATTTTCTATCACTGCTTCTCCAGCACCTTGTAAAGTGCTTGACTTGAATGTCTTCCAGTCCCCAAGGCTGTGACAAGTCTGGGGTGGCCAGGTGCCTCAGGAAGTGCTTTGTCTCCATCAGACACTCTCCACGGGTGTACAAGAGCAACAGACTGTGCTTCTGCTGATGTTTCACTGGTTGCGTTGGGAGCTGGTGGCACAGCAGTCTAAGAGATGGAGAAAGGTCCTTTAGTGAGGAGCCATCCAGCATGAAGCAAGCCAGAGGGTAGGCAGGACACTGAAACCCTAAGGGGCCTGAGAAAATAAGGCACACACACTTGTCTCACTTCCTCCTGAGAAGCAGAAGCTCTTGCTGAAAGCAGTAGCACACTGAGATCTTGGGAAGGGGGCCGAGGTGGTTAAGGTGCCTGCTGCCATAGCATGACCGTCTGTCTGTCTGTTTGTGTCCTGCAGAGAGCGCACAGTCGCAGAGGAATGAGGAGGTGCGCTGCTCAAACCATGATGCAACACACAAGCTCATTCTCTCCCCCAACGGGAAGCTTTCTGAACACTGGGCTAAGGCTTCAGGAAACTGCCCTAATACAAGGTAAGAAGCTTTCACAGGGTGGAGGTATGGATGGGCAGAAAATGCAGCCTGCTTTTCCCCACGGTAATATCCAAGAGTTTGACTTCCTGATGGAGAGAGAGAACTGGAACACATACCTTCCTAGTATTATCTCCTTTTTAACCCAGCCAGATGTGCACAGATTTTGAGGATAATACCAAGATCTGAGCTGCTTGGGATGCACATGAGACAGGTTTCTCTCAAACTTAGTAAGGGTCAGTAGAAGATACCAGAGCAATGCAGATGCCTTGCAAATCACCCATGGCTTGGCAAAACTTCAGGTGAAAGACACAAGCATGTCTGAACCTTACCACATTCTGATGAAGCTGTCAGGGTAAGCATCATCTACAAATGGCCCAGCAGTTTGCTGTGTGATATTTCTTGCCCAGGGCAAGATAACAGAATCAGGCTGAGCATGGTTCTTTTCCAGCTTCTTGTAGAGCAAACCACAGTGAAGTCAGGTAGGCCAGCTACATCAGGTCAGCATAAGAGAAGGGTGAATCAGCTTGCAGGTGACCTGTATTTTTTTTCCACATACTTCCTGCTAAGGAAATATTTTCTACTAGGGCTTGGTGAGCAGATGATCTTTGTCCTTTACTTTGTCTCACAGCACAGCATCTATCTATTTTGATTTTTGTTTCCTTATTTTTGCAGGCTGGTGAAAGAACTGGGAAACCGAATTATTGTTCAAATAGCATGTGGGGACCAGCACGCCATGGCATTATCCAGAGGTAGCCTCTTTCAAGAACACTTTTCCTCCAAACAGGAGTGATGCTTGCTCTGAGAAGGCAGTCGTTGTGCCACTTGCAGTAGCTGGTGACACCACTGTAGAGTAATGAGCAGTTGGGGACACAAAGTGCACTGGCTGTCAGTGCTGCTCCTTCCTCCCAGCACCCAGGGACCTGCATCTCTCTCTGTCTCTCTCCGGTTCCTGAGCACTGCCCCTCCACAAAGGTTTGTTGTGGAGAGCAGATGTGGCTGCCCCACTCTGCAGTCACCAGACCTGCTCATTCTTAAGTTGCAACACCTTTCTGCTAGGGAGCTTCAAGCAGGTATGACTTTAGGGGCCTTTATTCTTGCTGTGCTGAGTCACATGGCAACATGGGACTGTCCCAAAGAGGTCAGAAGAAAACAAATTTGGCTACACATGATGTTCTTGCCTTGGAGCTAGGTCCCTGAAAAGAACTCTGAGTTTTGCTCCTACTCCCAAAATGCAAATACTCAAGGGAAGCAGTGAGGCTGAGCTGTTTTCTTTTGTTCTGTGTGTGAAGGGGGTGAGCTCTTCACCTGGGGCCAGAACACCCACGGACAGCTTGGAGTGGGGAGCCAAACCACGCTTACTTCCAAACCACAGCTGGTGGAAAGACTAAAGGGCGTCCCACTTGCTCAAATTGCTGCTGGAGGAGCTCACAGCATGTGTGTGTCACTCTCTGGAGCTGTGTTCTCCTGGGGAAAGAACAGTTTTGGACAGCTGGGACTCGGAGACACGAAAGGTAAGGAAGGAGAGCACCAGGAGGGTGTTTTCCTCATCAGTGAGCTCACCAATTTGCTCCTGACTATTGTCAAGCTCCTGTGGAGGAGCAATGGGCAGTAAAGTCTTTTGAAAAAGTATATCTGGAGATGTTCTTTGTTTCCTGACCAGGAAAGGCATGCAGGAATGATGTATTTAGTGGTTGTTTTTCTATAGAGAACTTGCAATCATTTTATGTGGCTAATTGAATAGTGTGGGCTCTTAAAACCTCTGAGGTCTTACGCATCTATTTCCACTCCTGTCTCCTCTCCAGGAAGTCTTGGATGAAAGAAATTAATTTTATATTTTTTAATCCTCTTTAATTCCCTGTAAACACAAAGTGAGAGAAGAATTTAAATCACCTCTTGTCTTCAAATTTAGAATGCTAGAGAAGAGTTGACAGACAGACAGAACATCTAATCTGAATGTGTCCACACCCTTGAGAATCAGATACTTTGAAGCCAAGTACCATTTGGCAAGCAGATACGGAAGTACTGCATTTTGTTTCAGACTAAAGTAAATGAAAATAAAGTAATATGAAAAAGACAGAATATTATGAGAAAGAATATGTTATGCTGGAGGGAAAATGACCCAAACCCAAGCTGTAATTACATTAATTGCTGTAAGAGAGAGCTGAAAACCACTTAATCCTCCTGTCTTCTAATTTTCTCTGTATATGAGACCCTCTGGTACTTTGAATTTAGCAGTATTATCTTTTTTCCAGACAGGGACTGCCCAACATATGTTGGAGCTTTGGAGCACTGGAAGACTGTGTTTATCTCATGTGGGGCAGATCATACTGCAGTTCTCTCCAAGGTGAGTCTGAAATGGAAAGTCAGCATCTGAGACCTCACCTTGTGAGAAAAGATACACTGCTAAAAGAGAGAGAGATGAAGGAAAGAGAAAGCATGGAGAAATTGGGATGGTAATGCCTGCTTCCACCTAAGCCTGAAGGTGATCCCCAAGGGATATTATCTAAGCTATTGGGAAAACTGGTCTTTTCTCATATTCCTGTCACTTGCATGCAACCTTTGGCAGGGATATGGTGAATGGAAATCCTGAGGCAAAGAGGTGCAGTTCAATTCCCAGTTCTTCATGAAATTATTTTTTTATAGTACATTGGGGACTTCAGAAGATGTGAATGACATCTAATTCACTTGGGTTTACTCATACAAGTAAATTCTTAAGCCACAGGGAGTTATTCTCAAAAGTTAAATTGCTTTTCTCATGAGCTAAATGATTTGGATTTTACAGTGTGTGATCTGACTTGATGCTAAGTGAACCCTCCTCATGTTTGAATCAGGCATGTTTTGAATCAAGTTCCACATAAGATGTTGTGTTTTGCTGGCCCTCATTCTTGGTTGTGACCATTTGATTGCTGTTAATAATGCAGTGATCCTGTTTGTTTCTTTGTTTCAAGGAGGGGCTGGTGTGCACCTTTGGAGCAGGAGGGTGTGGCCAGCTGGGTCACAACTCCACCCAGAATGAACTCCTGCCTCGTGTGGTGGCTGAGCTGTGGGGAGCCAGGGTTTCACGCATTGACTGTGGCAGGTGGGATGTGCCAGTCACTTGTCTTCTAAGGTCAATGCCTTTGGGGAATCACTGAAGAATAGTAGGGAAGGGGGTCACCAAGATGTTCAAATCCCAGTATCACAATAGGTCAGCACTGTTAGGGTATCCATCCACTGTCCAAGTATAAACCACCCTCCTGCCAGAGCCCCAGTGAGAGCAGCACTCTCAGTCCCTGGTGAGCAGTGGGAGAGAGCTGCAAAAACCACCAGAGAAGCCCTTGGTCTTTTTCTCTTTTAATAAACAATATACTGCAGATCATACTGCAGTATGATCTGGGTGTGTACTGGGTTTGTACTGGGTTCCAAAGGGCAAAGGACCATCAAAAGCCTGCATCAGGAGAGACACTGGATTCCCAACCGGGCTGATAAACTGGTTGGTTCTTAATAAGAATTGAAGACCAGTGATAATAACTCAGTTTCACTTTGCCCTTCTGGAACTGGGCCAGAAAAAGTCTCCTGACAACTCACCTGGGCTTGGTATCAGGCTCAGCAGCACAGAAACTGCACCTTTGGAAACAGAAGGGTGTGAAGCAAGCCTGGTGTAACTATTTTTGTATGTGGAACCGAGGTAAATCACAAACATTAGAGGGTAGTATAGGAAATCTGAGTCCATGTATGTCTTTATTGCTGCATGTTTATGCAATGAAGAGTTGTAACACTGTGGCTAAAGGGATTCTTTATCTGGACTGTCAGGACTTTTGAAGACAAGCTTCAGGTGTACACTCTGAAAATGTATTTATAAATTTTATTCTGCTTTGCCCTGTGGTTTTCACTTACTATGGCTTTTTTTTTTCCCTGAATAGACAATACACCCTGGTCTACGTCCGTTCCTTGGACAAATTCTATTTCTTTGGTTCTGATGATGAAGGACAACTAGAAGATGAGAGGAAGCCCAATCAGTTGATACCACTTCCCATCAATTCACCAGTGGATATTGTAAAATCCTGCCAGAGTAATGACCACTGCATATGTATACAATCTGTATTTGTTTCTTCCATGGAGATGTTTGCTTTCTCGATTTCATATTTACACTGAAAGGCAAACATTATGTCTCATCCTTGCTTGGCCATCCCAACAAATTCTACCAGGGGTTATTCCATTTGCTGCTTGATTATTATGGGTAATGGCCTCAAAGAATCATACTTTCAACAAATAACTACTATCTGAAGGGGTTTTTTATTGTTCCACTTTTGTGCACATAACTCTCTGAAGACAGTGACTGTCTCTTCAAATATTCCTACAACAATCTTTTTGTTCTTTCACAGAAAAGGGTGCATCAAAAAAGGGGATTAAAATTACTGCAGGAGTACACAAAAGTTTTGCCCGTTGCAAGGAGGGGAACAAGGTATGTGCACATTTGATCATAGCTTCTGATTTTACCACTGTCCACATTATGGCTGGAAACATTTGGATTTTCCAACGTGCTTATAGCACTTCAATTTTATATATGTCTATTGCAGATTTTTCTGTGCTTTACCTACAGACTAATTTGTATTGCAATTATATAGGTTATATATGCAAATATATATGGATCATGCTGGATGACCATTAATTTGTTCATACTTAGGCTGAAATCTTGTTATGATTGGATTGGAAAAAAAAGAATCCCATCTGCTACAATTTAAATTTTGTCAATGTTTTCATGTATTTCACACAGAATTCGTATTTGAATGGAATTGCCACTCTGGAGGATAAAGAAGTGGATGCATGGATTTCTAATTCTAAATGTTGTGAGAGGATAAAAAGGTAAATCAGAAACTTGCTGTTTGGGTTTGTTTGTGGTTTTTACCCTGTTGCATGACTTTCTCTAAAAATTATTATTCTTTGGAGGCTATTGTAGGAACTGTTGTTCAAGAATTTAGCAAAGGCACAGTCTTGTACCTTGGCACAAAGTTCATGAGGAGCTGACAAGTTAAATCAGTGAAAGACCCTGCCTGCAGACAAAGGCCTTGTGCAAAAAGCCTAATCTGAGTACCCAAACTGGAATGTTGCTCCAGCATTTAAAAACTAGTGGTCACTTCTTTAATTATCCATTTTCAAAAGCAATATGTACATACCACTGTGGTATGCCTTACACTTACAGTCTTTCGCAGGTTTTATATGGGAGGTTATTTTCTTTGGGAAAGTCTGGCTCCAGCTGCTGATTTTGAGCATTTCAAAAGCTTGCCTAACTTGGAACTAAATTTTCCCTGACCACGTTTGGAACAGTTTGGATCATGTGAAAAGTGGTGGCTGAGAGGGTGAAAGAGAGGGTTCTTTCCAGATCTCAGTAGGAAGGGCCTGACAGCAAATTGTTTGATAAAATAGCTGCTTCAATAAGAACAGAACCAGGAACACTGGGAATTAGTAAGTCTGGTGTCCCTTCAGGTTCTGGGAACCCAGCTGTTGTGCAGCAGTAAATTGATAGCCTGATGGATTTTCCCTCTACGTGCTATAAAGATCCTGTCCATGGAGGGGATTCTCCTCCCTCCCATGTTGCAGTGCCTTTTATTTTGCATAACAGACAAAAGCAGCTAATGTTCTGACCTGTGAGAAGAATCCCCATGATAACACTCACCAGAATGGAGCACTGGGGCAGAACCTTAAGCAGGGTTCCCTTACAAGGCCCAAGAGAGCAGAGGTGGCTTGCAAAGATCAGTAACTCCTTGAGTACAACATCTTCTGCAACACTGACAGGGAAATAGTGCTAAGAAAAGTTTTGTGTGGTCAGGTGCAGACACCCCTGCACACATTTTTTGTTCTTTCAGAGTTAAAACCCCGAAGTTGAAAGGACTGACTTTTTGGTTTTTTTACTATCAGGAATATCAGACGGATCTTTTCATCTGAGGCTTGCATCAATGGAAGCTTCCTGGACAAAAGGTAGCATGCATTGACTTAGACATAAAGAATATATTGGCTGCTTGTAAACTGACTAGAAAGTGTTGGTTTAGGTCACGTATGTAGAAAATATTAGTTTTATCTGAATTTGCAAGAAGCAAGTTTTTATTTTTCAAAGCTCAAGCTAATATTAAGATTTTTATAGCCCTGGTCCTACTGAAATGTGCTAGAGAAACTCACATTTTAGAAGATTATCCATTAGTGATATTTGGCAAATGATGATAATCCCCCCATGCAATATTACAGCTCTTGAAGGATCCTTAATAGCTCCTTCTGACACTGAAATGGAAGTCATTTTAGGGTGAAATACAGGGAGTCTACCATTAATAGTTCACAGTCACACAAGACAGAAAAGACAGGATGTTAATCAAGTTCACAAAACAGTGGTTTGTGTTGTCTATCTTCTTAGAACACATGAAATTATACCCACGGGAGCTGGGGCTGAACTTTCCAAGTATTTTCTGATATTACAAAGCTTCATTATTCAGTAGAAAAATTATTTAGTGTTCTTTTTTTTAATGTTGTGATAGGGACAAACATTTCAAAACTTCCAAAGAAGTCTCAGGCGTAGACCTATCAGAAGTGAAACGTTTTTATGAGAAGATCAGTAAAAACCAAAGAGTCTACCAGGAGGTAAGGATTTGATATAAGGATGCTCACTACACAGGTACTGAGAAGACTTGGATTTGTGCATGAAACTTAAGAATTTCATGCCAACCTAATTACTTTGGCAAAACACAATTGCATTTTAACCTTTGTCTCTTTTTAATTTTTTTTCCCCTCTGAAGGTGCAAATGGAGATTAGGAACTTACTGTCTTCCTCATTGTCTTCCTCTCCCATCTCACCTGAAAATTTCAGAGTCTACTTGATCTTGCCTTTTCTTCTGAGGGGGAAGGATGAAGGCTCTGTCCTTTCTCTGATTGCTCTGGCTGAAGCCATCATGAAGCTCCAGCCAGAGGACCTGCAAACTCTTGGTAGGGTTTTATAATGGTATAACTGAATGATTTAAATGCTTGGTCATTTTCTGCTGCAGAACAAGTGTTATTATCACTGATGTAATGTGTTCCAGAACTTGAAATAATTGCTTTTGATAGACATAGCAACATGGGAACTATGCAGCAAGGCACAAGAATTTTAAAAATTCTGTCTGAGGTTTAATAGTTTTTGTAGTGCAAGCTTAAGCTTTTTTTTGTTCAATTCATTTGATAAAAAGAGAAAAAGCAGCTTCATCCACAAATTGCAGTGATCTGTATGTTACCTGTGATCTCACTAGCTGTTTTCTTTACAGAATGCCTATGGTCAAATCTAGAAACCTCCTTTTTCAAGGAGCTGGTCATTCTGTATCAGAGGGCTTCCCAGGAAATTCTGTTCTCATTTGTCCAGGAGTTCAAGGCCGTAGGGCCAAGCCGCCTGTACAACCTAGACCCAGTTGAAACTGGGCCTCTGCAAATACTGCAGATGCTTTACCAGGTGAGAAGGTGCTTGCTTGGATCCCAATTAGACAGGGTGTCTCAATGTAGCCTAGAGTATTTTAATACTTCTCACTTGTTGAATTCTCTGGGTTTGACACTGCTTCAGGAATCTCCTTGGCTCTACACCAGCACAGTTTTGAAGAAGTCCTGCTCGAGCTGTGCCAAACTGACCCTCTGTAGAAATGAAGAGCTAAAGCATGTTATAGCCCTGGCAGGGGGAAGAATGCTTTCAGTGGTGTCAGGAGTGCATCCACTGATGCCTACACAGCTATGGATGTGGTGTCCTTTATGTAACATGCCCATTCCCCTTTCTGCTGGTGAGATCCCTCGCCCCACTAACTGCTCAGAGCATTTAAAAGACAACCTATCTGCTTGGCACATTGCAGCTGCCACAGAAATGCTCTGTGATGCTTTATGTGATGCTTTAAGAGCCCGTTAACCTGACAAATTCTCTGGGACAACAGCATTAGAACACCTTTAGCTGTACATGAACAAGGGAAACAAAGGAAACAATAACTGTTCTTCTGGAAACCATACTTTCTCTCCACATTCCTGTGGAGGTGTTCAAAGTTTATGAAAGTTAAGAGCTCAAGCACACAGAATAAACCAGAGAGACTTGTTAAATTTTTTTCAGACTTGAATATCCTTTTGGCTGAGAATGTAGAATTGGGCCTCAAAGTTTAGACTCTCAAATTTGTATTTATGCAGATAAATAAACTAAAAAATGCAGCAGGCTCACTCCTCTGTAAGTGATTACATGATTTGGAGCTTTAAATGTTCACTGTCCCCCTGCAAGCATCTTTTCCAGGCAAGAAGCAGGAACATTAATAGGGAACTGCAGAAAAGACGTGAAAGTGAAAAAGAAAAGAAAAGAAGTGAAAAGACAGAAAAGAAGTGAAAGACACTCCAAAGCAAATACACTTTTTTTGATGGAGTCCTGTTAAGGGATCTTGATAGTAGATGAAAATTGCTTTCCTGCTAGTTTATACACAGCTTTCTAAGACTTCTCACTGTGGAGCACTGTGCTTCTTGAGCACTTTTATCCCATAATTTCTGTGCCGGGTCTCAGAACCCTTTCTGTAAAAATCCCTGGCAGTCCTGTCCTGCCAGACAGACATAGCTCACTAGTTCTGCTGCTGATAGATTGTGTGTTTCAATGCAGGTGAACTCCAGAACTGGTTTTGGAGTACATGAAAGCATCTTCCAAGTACATGAAGTGAGAGAGATTATCGGCATATGTTCATTCTTCAATATAGTAGTAAGTATAAATCTTACCAGCTGTGCAAAACACTCTTTTGCCTTTTATTTAAATAGTTTACATATATATATATATATATATATGGAAGTCAACTCTCAGAGACTAACCCAGCACATCTCAAAGGCATTTCATTTTCCCTAGTCCTCCATATGCAAGCCCATCCCAGTGTTCCAGCCACTACAATAGAGCTTTTCCTGAGATGACCCCTGGTTCTGAGAGTGGGAGCTACCCTCCAGCATCTTAAGCAGCTCTGTTTGCTTTGAACTAGTAATGATTGTGAAATAGAAGCACGAGGGATGGTTGCTATACTTTGCGTTACTCTGGGTTTAATTAAGAGAAATATTTTGAGGTGTCTTTAAACTTTTATTTAGAAATCCTATTGAGCATTTCAATGTACTTACATCTTAAAACAAAGCCGTGATAATAAAAAAATTATCTGTGGCATTTCTTGACACAGAGTGAAAATTAGCTACCAAATGCAGTGTCAGAGGAAGCAGTATGAAATGGAAATGTGCATACTAGGCGTTTCCTCTGGCAAAAAAAAAAAAGTAAGCTTTCATGCAACTTGGCTGGAATTTGTAGGGCAACTGCCTAATTCCTTCATAAGCTTTTGCTTGCTAATGTACCAATTTTGTACCAATTAACCAGAGTGGAGGAGGAGGTTTGAGCATAGAATCAAAAACCAATTAGGACGTTACCTGAAGTTGGTGCCTTATCACACTGGAGGTGTAACACTTTAAATTAGATTATTTTTAGACCAGTATCTGTTTTTGGTATTACATATAATAAACCCAGCAGTTTTTAAAAACAATATATCATAACCTGAGTATCCAGGACATTTTGGTTTAGCTGAATTATGGAAGATGCTGTTAAAATCACTCTCTCTGTTTTATTCTTGAGGCACTATTATAGACAAGTGCCTCTCTCTACTTCTCACTCACAGGCGTGTGTAGGAGCTGTTTTTTAAGATGTGAATCTCTGTTAGTGCAGTGCTCATGCACACAAGGGCTCATTTCAGAGACATGGAAGTTTGCCAGGGTACAGACTGGCAGTTCAGCCTGCAGACATGTCCCTGAACTCTGGTTTCACAAGGGAAAATCAGCATGTCTTTTCCTTTCTTCCTTGTCCTTTCAGATAGTCCTAGAGATGCTGAGCAAGTACCCATGCATCTTTGACAGGGAAAACAAGATACGCCTTCATATTACAGAATGCAGGGCTCTGACCATAGCCTTTACTGTAAGTGAAACCAATTTTGTTACCTATCAGAAGAGATAAACACACTGCTAACAGACTATTACTTCAATCCTTGGATACCCCTTATCCAGACAGCCTTTATAAGGATCCCTGAGCCATGGGATTTTTGCATCAGAAGACAATGCCTTCTCCAAGACATATGGAAAAATTTAAAGTCTGCCTCAAACCAAGATTTCAGGAAGATGCTAAAGGTAAGATACTAAATTGTATTACTTGTTAGCTCTAAGTATCTTGCTGCAGTGTTCCTTGATTTTCAGTGTTACTGTATATTGGTACAAGAATTTCAGTATCTTCTGAGCATAGAGCGAAAGAACTGCTCCTCAAGTTATTATAAAACATGTTCCATGGATGGTGTAGAGTAAATCTGGGGGCAGTATTTTACATCCTTATTCCAGGCAGCTTTGTTGGCATAAGTTAAATGCAAGTGGCAGTGCTATTTTTATTACCCCAAAGCAACTGTGAGGTTGCTTTGGGGTAATGGAATAGAATTGCTCAGTTGTCAAAGTCCAGTACTGCTGCTGCTAGACTGACTTTTGAGACTTTCTCCTAGTACATTAAAACCCCAGCATCTGGGGAACCAGCCTGAGGGGTCAGCAAGCAACACAGCCACACAATTACACTTCTCTCATGGAGATGCTGTCTGAAGGGAAAGGAAGGACAGTGCTGGCCAGAGAGATGAGCATGATTACAGTGCTGCTCTCTCCACGTGCCTGTAATGTGTGGCTTCCACACAGATGCGAAGGTTGTGGCAGCTGCGTTTCCCACAGGAATGGTGATGCTGGCCCTGCCCTGCAGAAGCCACTAGCTGGGACAGGGACACCTGACTGGGAACAGGACACTGCCCAGAGCAGAGCTCAGCTCAGGGACCACGTGCCCTGCCTGTCACTAACACAGACTCTGGCACCACGCCTGTGCCACAGGAACCACGGGCCTTGGTGCCCTGGTGCTTTCCAAGTGAGCTCTCTTGCCAGCCAGAGCTGTCAAAGCTTTTCTTTCCCACTAACTTAAGAGAAATTCACAATGGCTCCCAGAGCTACCTTTCCTTCCTGGTTCCTCACTACACCAGCTGAGAGGCATTTATTTACAGAGGCAGGGAGGGTGCACTCAGAACTGTCCTCTGGATTTCAAGTCTCCACCTATTGTACAAGCTCTGACAAACAGCTGCCCTTAGCTGAAGTCAGCCTTTGGGCACACCTCATGAGCACTGCCTTTCATGCTGTGCATCACAATATTGTTTACCCAGCAGCAGCCTGAAAAATATAACTGCACTGTTAGTATCCCGTAGCACTTACAGCCTGGTGCAGCATTTACAACTTGGTGCTTCATTTCTGCATTTTTCAGCAGGTAAAGGACATGAAGGTGCTTTGTGTTGCAGATAGAAACTACCCAAAAGCAAAACATATTCAGTGTAGCATTGACCTGCCCCCTTCATAGCTGTGTCCTGTTAGAAAGTTTTTGAGACAATACTGAGAACTTGGGCTGTGGTACTCTCATAGTAGCCCTAGAAAGAAAATACCTGCAGGTGCTGCACATACAGACATGGATATCATTAATTTGACTCAAGTTTTGTTATTAAACACCAGCCTGATTTATTTTAATTTTTGTTCTTCTGACAGTGAGACATATTTCAGTACACACATATGGCTAAAAACCCTCAAAGCTCTCAAAGAGACATTCATATCATTCCATGTTTTAATTTTAATTTAATTTATTCGGTCAGGGTACTTCCTCATGAAAACTAAGGTTCTAATTAGTGCCACTACAAATGCACAGCACTCTTGAAAGGATAAAACATAGGAAATTAGTGCTTCTTATTACTTTTACTCTTCATCTGCATTAGCAGTAGTTAACAATGGGCTGCTGCTTCATACATTTCCAGATCCTACCAGGAAAATGATGCCAGTCACTAGTGCCAGAAGGAAACTCTCTCAAATGAACTGCAATACTCGATGAGATTAAACAAAATTAGGTTGATTTAGAGAAGCCCAGGGGTTAGCAAAGGCACCGCACTAGTTGTGCCTAAAAAGCTTAATCCCCATCCAGGTCCACAGGTGAAAGAACACATAAACCGGTACTGTAACGGGAAGGAGGAGGCTGTAGAAACACAGGCTGGTTGTGCTGGTGCAGCCCTGGGGGAAGTTTTCGTCCACGCTGGCCGAGTAGAACAGGCCTGCCAGGGACAGCAGGGGAACGAGCACAGTCAGCGTGGGCAGCGAGGGCAGCAGCCCAGCTCCGGCCATCAGGCCCCGGTACCGCCGGGCCCGGCGGCTCCTCACGGCCGCTCCGAGCCCTCGGCCGGCGCCTTCGTGTGCGTCCTCCTGGCAGCCTCCGGAACCATGTTCGGGATGCCGTCGATGATGGGGTACGCGATGCCCAGCTCCTCGTTAATGAGCTCGTTCGTAGCTTCTTCGTACCTGCTCAGCCAAGTCGGGGAGGGGGGAGAAACATCCAAGCGAAAACATGAGGAGCAGGGACTAACCTGGCTTTGCCCAGGGCTCGGGCGCAGCTCCCCCGGCCCATCCTCACCTCAGCGGCCGCTTGGAGAGAGGGCACACCAGGAAGCGCAGCAATGATGGCTCCAGGGGCTGCGGCCGCGCTGAGCCGGAGCCCGAGTCTGAACCGGAGCCCGAGTCTGAACCGGAGCCGGAGCCCAAGCCCGAGCTTTGTTCCTGCTCCTGCTGGCCGTGGCAGTGCCGGCGGTGCCCGGGGCTGGCCGGGGCCGCCCGCCGCAGCCGCAGCGGCAGCAGCAGGGCCGGACCGCGCAGCATGGCCGCGCTTCCGCCGCCACGGCCCGCCCCGAGCGGCGCCCGCCCCGCTGCCCGCCCCCCTCAGCCGGGCTCCGTGCGTGTTGCGGAATGTAGGATAGATCAAGTCGGGATGGTTTTCGGTGTAAGATCTTTGTACACTTTCGAGCTTAATCAGGAAGGAAGGAGAACTAGTCAGTGGAACAGGCAGCAGCCAGCATTTCCTAGCCAAAGACATCCGGGAATGAAAAGCCATAAGGATGCAGTAAATCAAGATGTTGAAGTATGTCTATACATACATTGCTAACTTGGTAAAATACTCAATGTGAAGAAGGCCCATCACTTGTTTTGAAAATTTTAAAAGTTTAATAGTAATAAAATGGTTATAAAATAGTCATATAATTAGAGTAATAATAATTTGGACAAATTGAATTAGGACAATATGAGACAATAGAGACAAAGAGTTACGTCCAGGTACATTTTTCTGGGCAGCACGAGCCCGAAAAAGGACACCCGTTAACAAAGGATTAACCCTTAAAAGCAACAGCCTGTTGCATATTCATACACTTCATACATGATGCATAAATTCCATTCAAACACAGGATTCTGTCTGGTCATGGTCAACTTCTTCCTCTGAATCCTAACGGTGCCTTCAAGGAGGGAAGAAGTTGGTTTCTTCTGATAAGAGGGCAATAAATTCTTTTTCTCTGAAAGATTTAGGTGTCCTGTGGCTGCTATCTCACTGCGAGTCCTTTCTTTTAAAAAAGTATCCTACATAGCTTAGTTTCTATTTTAACATTTTTTATAACCTAAAACTATATTTAACACACTACTTAAGAGAATTAATACAGCATTACTTTCTAACACAACACATATAATATTCATTTTAATATTTGTGAAAAGCCAATCATAAAATACATGCATTTTTCACACTCAAGGTCCACATAGCCTGTAGCTGAACTGTGTTCATTATAATAGTTAAAATCATGCCCACAGGGCAAAGAGACCCCTGCCCAGGTGAAGACCCTTCCTCTGAGGGTGTGTGGAAGTCAGCTGGGGTTATGTAACTTGTTTGGAAATTACTAACCAAGCATAACAGACTTGGACAGTTACTTACTCTGAATTTCTGTGTACAAATAATGGCTCAAAAAGTCTGGTGGGGGGTGCTTGCTTTGTGGATTACCACCGAGTACCCAGGTTGGCACAACCGTGAGATAAAAAATCAGTGTCTCTCTCTCAGGTGTGTAATTATTGGCTTGTTGCACACCAGGTAAGGAATCTGATTTTGTGAGCAACATGAGTGTCTCTATTTATGGCTGTCTTTGCCCTTGCAGGTGTCCTTTGAGGGTGAGGCGGGGGTGGACGAAGGTGCAGTGTCCCAGGAGCTCTTCAGCGTTGCAGCCAGGACCCTCTGCCAGCCCAGCACCATCACCTTCTGTCACTTCACCTCTGGCCTCGTGTGGTTCCCCAGACAGGCAAGGCAGCCCTGTGGGGGTGGATGGGGGCCCCACCCATGGGAAAAGGCAGTCATGGCTTGTTCCTAACCAGGTGTGCTTGTTCCTAACCAGGCCCCGAGCTGTGAGGATGAGGACATCTTCCTCTTGATCGGGACACTGTGTGGAATGGCCCTGTTTAACCAGTGCACGGTGCCCTTCCCCTTCCCCAGGGCTCTCTACAAAAAGCTACTGGGCCTGGCCCCCACCCTAGAGGACCTTGAGGAACTGCTGCCAACTGTGGGCCGGTATGAGCCAGGCATGGCCCAAGCTTTGGCTGGGTCCCTTGCCTTGATCATGCACTGGGAGATCCCAGAGCCTGAATTTGGGGTACCCATTACATCTACATTTGCCTTTGTGAAGATGCTAGAAGCCACAGATTTCCAAGAGGTCCTTGTCCAGGACATGGATGTTGCTCTCAGAGGCTGGCATTGCCAAAACAAAATGCCAGGCCTCATGATTTAGAGGGTGTCAGATCTCTGCCCCACCAGAGCTGAAGTCCACACTGTGAAGATATAAGTGTTCAAAACACTTTGGGCTGTAGTTTGGACTTGAAAGAACTAATGACTCAATTATTAATGTTGGGGGTTTTTTTCCGATTTACTAATTATCACTTTCCACAATATTGCCTTGCACAAGTACAGTATTACAAAATGCTGCCAATTCTGAGAACCCTTGTGCAGAGTTTCCATGCACTGGGAGAGGAGATATCAGGCAGACATAAGAGGGAAAGGTGCTGCTGCCACCAGCATAATGCTTCTAGGCCTCTGAAGCCCAGTCTTCCAGGCAAGTGATATAAACAACCAAGAAGATGAGAATCCCATCCCATAAGCCAGTGACTGTGTTGAGGTGCTAAATTCTTGAGGTGCTAAATTCACTGAGGTTTCTCAGTGAATTGGAACACAAGGTTGCCTGCAATAATTGGAAAGGTGCTGCACCCCAAAATAATTCTCCCAGATCATCCATCCCTCTGTTCCACACTTAATTCCTCACTAGATAATGCCTAGAGAGGAAGCAAGACTGTGGTCCCAAACCCATTTGTCACTGAACTTGGTGTAAAGTTGTCCACACAGGGCATGGGGATGGACTTGCCTGGAAACTTTTTTTACTGGAAGCATTTGTGCTCAGCTTATGTCAGCAGCAAGATGAAATTTCAGTGCCATATATATCATGGTTCTGTGTGAGTGTAGGTGTTGTGCACATGTATGCATTTAAATACTGCTTGTCAAAGGATGTTTTTTAGCAGAATTTGCAAATGCACTGAATGGTCATGTTTCTTCTCTCTTTAATCCCTTTTGTGTTTGGACAGGAATCTTCGGAGAATTTTGAATGAAGAAAGTGATGGCTTGGACTTGAACTTCACGGTAAGACATCCCACAAAGGTACTGTCTCGGTTTGGAAAGACAGGAGTCTGCTAAGGAAGGCAGGAGACTCCCTGAAATGGAGAATGTGAACATTCCTCCCCACCCCTCTGAATTACTATAAATTTTAAATTAAGGGGCTCTCAGGCAAAAAATATGGGAGCAGGAAATAACAGTTCTTTAATAGGGAAGAAAATAAAAGGCTAAAATAAACAATGCAGTGCACTAGAACAACACTGACAGAGTCAGAACCCAACCTGACACCCTGTGGGTCAGGGTGTTGGCAGCAGTCCAATTGGAATTGTGGCTGCAGTCCTCCTGGAGTGTCAGGTGTGGTTCTGCTGGAGCAGGGATCCTGTAAAAAAAGGGTGTAGTCTTCCTCTGAAGATCCAGTGGAAGAAGAGGCAGCTGTTGTTCCTCTGGAAATCCAGTGGAGAAGCTGGCTGGTGTTCCAGAATCGCCAGATTATATCTGGAGGAGCAATGCTTGGCTCCTCCCTTTGGGCAGAGCATCTCACAATGGGATGCTACAGTTCTTATCAGTCATGCAGTGACATTCAATAGCCTGTTATCAGCAGATGTCCTCTCCCAAGGGAGGAGTGATTGTGGAAGAGATAAGGAAAGCTGCCCACTTGACAGAAGACAACTGCCATACAGATGGTAATAGAATACATCTTGCCTTGCAATCTGCAACAGGTACTTGGGCAAGATGCTGTCCCAGTGCAAATGACACAACTTGTCTGTAAACTCAAACTAGTGAGAGTGCTATGTCAGGCCCTTCAGGAGGAATGAGAGATGTAGCACATATATACCTGTCACATATAGATATAGCAGCCAATGTTTGAATTTATTTGCATAGATAATGGAAGGAGGAGATTCCACAGATGTTGTTGAACTTAAAGAAAATGGTGCCAACATTCCTGTCACTAAGGATAACAGGTCAGTTTTATTTTTATATTTCTTAATCCTGGTGTCTTGCTACAAATGTATGAAGTAACATGCCTGTACCCATCCCCATATACTGTTAGAAAATATTGACTTCTGTATTGTGCCTTTGGTCTTGGTCCAATAGATTGTACACCTTCAGTTACTGCTGTGCTTGCTGCACACGTGCTAAACACTAGCAGTTTGTGCAAGCAGTGGATAACATGGGGATCCTTGGATATCCTGGTACCTGCATATACAGATACCTGGAATTAACAGGAAAATTCCTAACAAATGTAAAAAATAACCTGGAACAGTATTTTCAGGCAAAACCAGATGATTTTTCTGTGAAATCCAGCTATAGGTACACCTCTTATGGAGTTTTTTAAGAGCAAAATATGTTTCCTGCTTAGTTACCTATATGGAATGTATCTTGTAAAGGAGAAGGAGCAATCTATCAATAAGGCTTTGTGTCAATATTAATCTCTGCACAGAGGACAGAGAGAAATTTTGTGTCCTGAATTATGCAGATGACCCGAGGACCCATAGGGATCCATGAAAGGGCTGTTTAAGAAGCTTGAAGTAGAGCATTTACATTGAGTTGATTGTACAGTACAATGTTACTACACAAATCCCCATCTGAAGTACAGAGAAGAGTGAAACTTAAAACTGTGCAAATATTTATTTAGATTTCAGGAAAATTATTGGGCATTCAATGGGAGTTAGGTCTGCTAGGTTCCATCTTTTAAAATAATCAGGTGTCTGACAGGATTTCATTGGAGCATTCACATGAAGTACAAGGAGTGTTACCAAAATGAATCCATTCTGGCCAGCATTCTCTTTTATTTGTGAAGATGCTCCCAGCTTATTCAGTGAATAATTAATTGCCAGTGACAACTGGTCTCAGTGAGTCTGTACACCACAGCAGGTCATATGGAATAAAGGAATAAAGTTCTCTATAATTCTCCTTTTAGAAAAGCACTACCAATGCTCATTTGGTATCTGTTGCAGGAAAGAGTATCTTGATTTGTATGTGAATTATAAGTTCAATAAATCAGTAGAGAAGCCATTTGAGGACTTTATGCAAGGGTTCTTAAGAGGCTGCCCAGCTAGAAGTTGGAAGATGTTTTCCCCTGAAGAGCTGCAGGTTCTTCTCCAGGGACAGCCAACGTTTGACTGGCATCTGCTGGAAAAGGTATTGTATACATGCAGTGTCCTTCTGCTCTGTCTGCTAAACTGTTTCTGACCTGTTCTTTCACTGAGTGCATGACAGATGGACAGAAGCTCCAAGAACTTTCTCTTTTTTGATTTGTGTCGATGTTCTGTCTCTAATCTATGTCAGCCACAAGAATAAAGGGGAATAGGTATCAAGCCATAACTCAGGGATTGTCATTTGAATCCTTGTAAAACAAATGAACAAGCAGATTCCAGAGGTTAAGGGGATTTGAATATCTATGAACAGGATTATAAAATTTATCAGATAAAATGTTGCTTTAAATATAAATGGAAATATTGAGGATTAACTGGCCTGTTTTATTTTTGTCTCTTTGACAGAATGTGAAATATGCACAGTATACGAAGTCAGATCAAACTATCAGGAATTTTTGGACTGTGTTTCATGACCTACCAGAAGAAAAAAAGAAAATGTTTCTTGGTAATATATCAGGCATTTAAAACTTTGCCCTTTTCTTTCCTCCACAACATACATACTATACTGTACTATAGTTCCAAACTGTAGCTTTTCAACGTGTTCACCCCTGCTGCTGCCACATTTTCTAGGGAAAACCACAAAAAAATAACACAAGGAGTTGCACAGGGACAGATCTGACCCTCCTCACATCCCCTGAGGTTTGCCTGAGTGCACCCTGAAGCTTGCAGTTACTTTATCCCTTACTTTTGTGGTTGTGTTGTTGGTCAGAGGCTGCAGTTTGTGAGAGTACACTGTGTTGATGTAAGCAGTTTACGTTTTTCAAAGGTTGCAGAAGCTAGGTCATCCTTTTTAAAGGTAGAAGGTCAGACCTAGCCTGGCCTTTCTCATCCACACAGTCTACCATAGAAAGTAGAAGAGAGCTTGTAACTACTGTGAATCAGTAAGAGACTTAAATCTGTATTCAGGTGCAAATTCAACAAAGCATAATACTTAGCTTAGGAAAATATCTGTATGTTTACACTAATTTCCCTTCATGATTTTCATTAACATTAATTATTTTAATGTTTTTCAGCTAACTTTTTTTTTTCAAATTGCTAACTTATTCTCGTTTTTCTTTTTTTCATTCCTTCAGTTTTTTTGTCGGGATCTGATCGAATCTCTGGCTATGGACTGGAACCTTTTAGATTTTGCATTGCAGATCCTCAAATAGAAAATCCAGACGAGAGCTCTCCCTATGCCAGTACTTGCCTCCTGACTTTGTTCCTCCCCAGATATAGCAGAAAAAAAATACTCAAAAAGAAGTTGCTTTATGCCATAGAGCATAATGAAGGTTTTGGCCGTAACTAACTCTGGGATAGAAGCACTTAAAAGCAAAAATAAGAATATGAGTCTTTGTTCATTTGCCATATTTTCTCTTAATAACTCAAATTTACTGGTTTTTACCCTGCCTTATTTTTACTGCACTTTATAAGCACCTGAGTGTGTGTGTTTGCTGAGATTTTACATTGCTTATAAAATTGAGTTTCGACCAGACATTTCATAGTTAGATTGTAAAGTTAGGAAAGAAGAATCCTGTTTGGCACACTTCAGAGAAGCAAGCTGATAACCAAGCATATTTACATATATGTGCAGGCAGGGTCTGCACTGTTCTGGTTGTGTTAGGACAGTGAGCTCCCAGCAGCAGCAGGGATTCTATGATTTGTACATTTATGCATTAGCATGCACACAACCAGGAAGTGCTAAGCAGTCACCCTTGCAGAGCAAAGCCGGGGTAAGGTTTTCATCTCTGTTACTTAAGGGTTCTCATGGGAGCAACTAACACATTTAATGAGATTGTGAATTGAAGGAGCAGTCTGTGCTCACCTGGATATGGTCTATGATTTATCTGAGACAAATTCATAGGAGGATTTGATCATTCCTAGGCTTTTTCAAAAGCTGTATTAATGAATTATAATAATACAATTTTTTTGTTATTTAGTGTGATAATTGTGATATTTGTCATGTTTCATTATAACTTCTAAGGAGATGTTTCACAATTAAATCATAAAATCTTATGCTTGCAGAACAGCACTGCCTACAGAGCCCTGTGGACATGAGGCTGGCAGGGCTTCAGGAATCTCATTGTCAAAACGGTGCAGAGCACTGGCAGGATATTAACCATGTCAGGCAGGATGTGTGTTTACTGTGTATTTTGCTATGTGGAGAGAGGGAGAGAAACAACAGCCATTATTTTTCAGCAGTCTTCTCTTTGGTGCATTAAATGTGTCAGGGGACATCCATATGTAAAGAAGACTTCCACTGTCTTAAATTAAATGATGATGGATTAAATTTTCACCCCTGTAGCTGTGTTCTTCCTTCCTTGTGCATCTGCCTACATGGATAAGCACAGCAGGCAGTGTGTCTGTGTTCTCTGTCCTCCTTGGAATGGGGGGGCCTTTCACAAGTGGAGTCAAAGGCTGATGTAAGTGTGTTTCAAAGAGATGCATTGTATATGCTGAACAAGTCAGTCCTTCCTGTGTGATGCAGAATGACATTGTTACCTACTTAAAAAAAAAAAAAAAAAAGAAGCAAGTTTCCTTTTAGTTTACAGTACAGTAATCAGTAAAAAAAAAAAAAGAAAGAAAAAAAAAATTAGGCAATTAAGCCCTCACCTCAAGCACCAGGGCAGTACAGGAAAGCAGATGGCATGGGAGTGTTGATGGGAAGAGGGGAAATAGGACTTCAGAGGATAGCAACTCCCAGCAGAGGGGAGCGAGGGGACATGGCCTGCTCAGACCTAACACCTGTCCCCCTCGCTCCTCTGGAACAAACAGGACATCCCAGGGATGCTTACATCATCTGAGGAAGGCAGCACTCTGGTGTATTTTTGTGGAAAGAGGGAACTGGCAGAAACCCAAAGTGTTGCCCACATCTCGCATCCAGCTGATGCTACCACACCATCACAGATTTCTGTTTTGGCAGCTTAGCCTGCTGTTCATCAGCCGGCTCCTGGCTGTTGTTTTCCTTTTCATGGTTTTCTAAGCTTCAGAGTGATCTTCTGTGCTGTACAAGTGTACAAAAGATGTATTCTCTTTAGAATTCAAAATAACCCATTAGAGATTAAATGATAATAGGTTTATTTAGAGCCTGGAGGTATTTCCTTCTCATCATGTATGATGCAACATCACATGGGAGATTAAAGCCCAGAGTCACTTTCAAGGCTATTTTTAAGTTGTCCTCAAATAATCTCTGCTTTTATATATATATGTGTATATATATACACACATTGCATAAATACTTTCAGAGTAGTGCACTCCTCTCTGATTTTCTGAAATTAGTTTGCACACTGGATTGTGCTGGATTGTGTCTACATTTTCTCAAGCAGTGCCTGTTATAAAATATGCAGGAGAATATGAGTGAGGATCACATTCAGCTGTGAGTTCAAAAGGCTTCACACAGGCAGCAAAAGTATATTGAACCTGCAGCAGCATTTTTTTAGGCCACTCATCTGAGCTGAGCATCACCTGTAGACAAGTGCAAGAACAGCCTTGAAAGTTCTCCAGGAAGCTGAAATGTAACCAGTTAAAAATTGGTTTCAACAAGAGACTCCTGGCTCCCTTACACAAATTCCAGGCTTTGCTCCATCATTTTCTTCTTTTATTTTTTTTTTTTTTGTTTGTGTGTGTACCTTCCCCTCCTTGACTATGCAATCAGAAACAGAGGAAACTGATTGTAAAGGGAAATTATCTATTTTTCAAAGGTCTCCAGACAATGAAATAAACAAAACAGAAACAAACACAAACACACAAAAGTATGTTTTCCTCTATGTATGCTCTCAGTTATTCTAGAAGCCGCTTGTAACACTGATTAAGCCAAAGATGTTACATGACAGGTGTAACTTTATATTGGAGTAGCTATTTATTCTAAACACGCATGATGCATACAAATAAAGGTGATTTTTCACCTGATCTGTCACACAATTTCGGCTAAATGTGCAAACATTGCAAACTGCCAGAAATGCAGTGTAAGGGCCACAAATACTTATGGCCACCGGACATACCTTAGGGACTTCTTCCCCCCATACTGAGCCCTTGCAAACATCTGAGGAAACAAACATTTGCTCCAAATATTGTCTGTCATTTTGGTGGTCTGAATGGGATGCAGATTGTGGAGCACAGTCGTCTTCTAATAGATGACACTAAAACCAGAAAATCAGTACTTGGGAGTTACATAATTGCTTGCTCATTGGCCTCTTTTTTTTTTCCTCCCCCTCTCTCTCAGTGGAGATTTTGACAACAAATCTTTTTTTGAGGTTGAAACTTTCTGTAAAATTTGAGCTCCTAAACAAATGAGCCTGCCAGGTGATCAGAGCCCACATAAAAGGAAGAAGAAACAGACTAGGGGAAAGAAACTGACTATTGTTATTAGTAAGTGACATTTCGTGCTTAACGCATTCTCAAACACTGGAAAGCTGCCTTTCCCTTGAGACCTTCATTTAGAACAGCTTAAATTCCGGAATGCGCTTAACTCGGCCCGTCGGTTTCTGCCGCGTTTAGAGCGGCGAGCGATCTGCAAGGCTAAAGCCGCGCAGCCCGGCGGGCGGGGGCCGCCTGTGCCCAGCGCTCCGCCCGCGCCATTGCAGCACCGCTGGGAAGGCCAGGAGCGCTGAGGCCAGGCCAGGAGCGCTGAGGCCTCGCCAGGAGCGCGGAGCCCCCGCCAGGAGCGCGGAGCCCACACCGTGCCCCGGCTCCCGGGAAAGGAGATTCCCGGCCCTCCCCGCGCCCGCCGGGGGCCGGGCCCGCCCTGCGCATTGGCCGCACCGCGCGTCACTCCCGGAGGCGGCAGCGACAGCGGGGCCGGGACTTCCTCGTCGCCGCGGCGGCAGCGGCGGGGCTGGCGGCGGTGAGTGCCGGGGAAGGACAGCTCGGCGCCGCGGGGCGGCTGCTGCCGCTCCCGGTACCGAGCCCATCCGTAGGGGAGCCGGGGCTCGGGCGTGGCGGAGCCCCCGGCGCAGGACGCGCGTCCCCAGCCCGGGCGGCCGCGGGGCTGCGGCAGGAGCCGCTCGGCACCGCTGCTGCTGCTGCAGCATCACCTGGATGCTGCGGGGTGGGCTCGGGGCTGCTGCCGCTCCGGGGTCGGTGTGTGCCCGCCGGGAAGCGCCGCTCTGGGCGTGGGAAGCGGCCGCAAAAAGCCCGGGGTGTCCGGGGTGAAGGCAGGGAGCGAGCGGTGTTTGTACTGGGATTGCAAAATGGAGGTGATGGCGGGGGGGTTGTCGTGTTTGATTTTAGGTATCTCTTTTTATCTGTTTTCTGTGGGGGTATCTCCATCTGAGGGTGTGCGGCTGTGCAGTGGGAATACTCTGCTCCTGCTTTAACTCATTTGCTGGTACACCTTGTATTCTCTTGCTCTGTAACCTGCTTTACATTGGACATTGAGGTGGACTGAAACGGAGGCAAAAAGAAGAAGAAAGTGGGCTTGGAGGCTTGGTGGCAGAAAGAGGCAGTAAATTCCGTCATTGTTGAGCAATGCTGGAGTACAAGAAGCACATTCGTTATCTGAAATCTCACCAACAAGAGGGAAGGAAAAACTTGTTTATTCATGCCCTGCCAGTTGGCAGATCTCTTTGTTTAGAGAGCATTGAGCCTCGAGTGTTGTTTGTTGTAATTCTGATATTTACTTAGGTGACTTCCCCCAGAGTGTTGTTTGTTGTAATTCTGATATTTACTTAGGTGACTTCCCCAGAAAGGTCGCAGAGTGGAAATGGCTTTAGAATATGTTTGTGTGATTTTGAGGAGAGACTCTGCATGACATGAGAGCTTTTAAAAAGAGAGAGAGAAAAAAAAAAAAGACAAAATGCATCCTGTCATGATCATACATGCAGCATTATTGTTTTACTAATCCACGGAGGCTGTTTTTTCACCAAAGGATATATACTTAGTATGTCAGCAGAACCTTATTATAGCAGAGGGTGAGTCTTCCACCCACAATAGATTTCCTCAAAATATTCCTCACAGTGTGAGGTTTTCCTAGCTCTGCCTGTGCTATGTGCATCCTTCACTGTTTTGATGATGAAATATTCCTGGAATGTCAGGGTCCAAGGATGTGGTGTTATATCTTCCCCTCTCCTTTTTATGTGTGGGGAATCTCTGCAAATGCCTGGCTTTACTGCATTGCATCTGTTCATATCTCTGAAACATGAATACCACGCTGGCTGTGTTGGGATTTCTGAAGAGCAGGAATAGGTTATGTGGTTGGGTACTGCAGTTCTTGTGCTTTTTGCAATCCAATTTTTAAAAGAACTCTGAACTTTAATTCCTAACTGATGCATTTAAGAAAAACCCTCTCTCCCCGAAGGGTTTGCCCTGTGAAGATAAAAATTCAGCTTTTTTAAGGTGCATTGAGCTGGGCACTAGGAATATTAATCACTTACATAAAATTTCAGATAAGTGAATATAAATTGCATGTTTAATGTATACATGTATATGGCTGTTAGTGCTTGCCTACACTAGAAACTTCTTATGTCATTGTTTTAGTATGAGGAAAGTATGCAGTTTGTAGAGGTAGCTTGCAGTGGCACATGCACTTTTACTTCCTCTGTTACTGTCAGAGCAGAGTAACTGCCTTAACCGGATTGGAAACAGAGTGTGAAATTGTTATTTAATGTCTCCTCGTGTTTCAGGACACAGCTCCTACTTGAACATACAATGTATTAAGACCTCCAGCGTTGTGGTTTTTTTTTTTAGGGGAAGAAAAAAATAGCCTTAAAGTTGTGGTTTTAAATATGTTTTCAGCATAAGTAAATTCACCAGGCCATTTGAAATGTTTAGCTGTGCCTGTGCACTGAAATTTTGAGTGGCTGTGTTTTTTGCTCTGCTCTCCACTGGAAAGTGTCGGTCTGTTTCTGTGAAACTGAGCTGCACAGAGATTTATTGGCAAAATGTTGGAAGATGGGGGTGGATAGAGATGGCATAGTCCATAGGGATGATTTTAGAAAAAACTAGTGAAAACCACATTTTCTATGTCTGGTATAGGGATAGTTAAATATGAGGAGCTTCAGAAAATCTGGCCTGTAGCATGAATGAAAGGTTGAACTCTGAAATATCACCCTAGTGTTTATATGGATTAGTGGGAGTTTGAACTCCTCCTGTTTCAGTGGTATTGTCTTAACTGGAAGAAAAACCCATCTCTTACCAATCACATCATATTCCTTTGCCCATTAGCAGCAAATTCTTGTGTGGAATATGAACACAAAGAAAGTAATTAATGTATTTTTAGCATTTTTTAAAAGAAACTAGCACTAGGGAAGATGACTGTAGTCTACAGGGAGCAGGCTGTTGAGGTACGCTTTTAGAAGG